GGAAACTGGGTTCAGTATTCATAGAAACTCGACAATTTTCATAGCTTTTTGCAAATCTAAAGTGGTTCTAAAAATAGACTTTTAAAATAAAGGAGTATGTATTACATGATTCCATTTGTGTAGTGTTCCTGAAGTAGCAAAGTTTTGGAGATGAAGCATACCTAAGTGGTTGCTAGGGGTGTGGACAGTGAGGAGAGGTGGGTGGTTAGCAGAGTGACATATTTGTGGGGATGTTACAACTGAATATGTTGACTGTGGCAGTAGTTACATAAAGCCAAACACAGGACACAATTCCACAATTCTTTATATAAAGTCACTCACTTGCTCACTTACTCACTCACTCCCTCACACACACACAACACACACATGTCAGTCACACTCACAAATAGAGGGTCATGTGTCTAAGCTCTATGGATTTTAGCCTGTCAGGTTTCTGCTGTACATATTGTGCTGTGATTATGTGGGACATTGACATGGGAAAGGAGACTTGAGACAGGCCTGTATAGAAGAAGATCCTTGAATATTCCTTTGTAACCTCCTGGGACTCTATAATTATTTCATAACAAAAGTTCCAAACTCTTTGGAAAACCGAAGATTTTCTGAGACATCACATTTCAAATAGCTGAGTGAGTTTTATTAACAGGGATATGCTACAGCACCTCACCATTGTCTGCTCTGGTTCTACTTTTTAAAGTCCATCTTTCCTGGCAAAGTGCTATATCAGTTGTTTAATTTGAGAATAGATTCAGGGGTGTTCTAGAATTCAGAGTATTGCTGAGTAAAGTGTGTGTGTGTGTGTGTGTGTGTGTGTGTGTGTGTGTGTGTGTGTGTGTGTGTGTGTTGGTGGATTCAAACTGGCCTTTGCAGGAGCAGACAGCCTGCCAGGTCTGAAAGGGCGGAGGAGGTAGAAGAACTTGGTCTAGAAGTTGACCGACCACAGTTTTCAAGGACCTACATTAGATCTCTGTCTCTGTGCTATGTCATTTCATATCTCTGTAGCTAGAGTTTTCCTGCCTGGCCCACAGTCAGGACAAATCTCTCTCACCTGCCAGTCCCACAGCTGCTCAGACCCGACCAAGTAAACACAGAGACTTATATTGGTTACAAACTGTATGGCCGTGGCAGGCTTCTTGCTAACTGTTCTTACAGCTTAAATTAATCCATTTCCATTAATCTATACCTTGCCATGTGGCTCATGGCTTACCGGCATCTTCACATGCTGTTTCTCATCATGGCAGCTGGCAGTGTCTCTCTGACTCAGCCTTCCACTTCCCAGCTTTATTCTCCTCCTTGTCCTGTCTTTACTTCCTGCCTGGCCACTGGCCAATCAGTGATTTATTTATTGACCAATCAGCAACACACTTGACATACAGACCATTCCACAGCATATCTCTCTCTGTCTCTCTCTTCCTCCTCCTCCTCCTCCTCCTCCTCCTCCTCTTCCTTTCTCTCTTTTTTGTTTCTGTTACTGATGTGAGAATGAGAAAAAGAGATGTCCACTTGAAGCAGATATCCCACCAAGGCATACAGCTTGGTGAGGGGAATCCAGGCTGGGTTTTATCTCCATTTTCTTTTCAGCCAGGTTCTCTTGTATTGGGAGCAGCTTATAACTTTACATGGCAGCCACTGAGTGATAATTATACACCATTGTATAGGGAATTAATGAGACCAGTTAGTGAGTGAGCGGTACAAGAAGAGATGATTGTGGGTTGTGGGCAAAAGACTTCTGAGAGGAGCTGAAGTTTGAATAAAGCCATAAAGGTAATTAGAATTTGGAGAGGAAGATAATGGAGTGAGAGTAATCATTATCTAGGTAGGGTATCTTGAATAGATTTCAATGATCCAGGTGTGGTGGCATTTACCTGTAATCTTAACACTATGGAGGCTGAGACAGGGGGATTTCAACCAAATCAAAACCCAAACAAGAAGCCTAAATGAGGCTGTTATTCTTATTCATCCTTATGGATTTGGTACATTTGATAATGTGTTGTCAAGGGAAGAAAGGGAGACAGGGAAAGAGGGAGGGAGTGTGGGCTTGAACATATGACTTGATCATACTTTCCCATAACATCTTCCTATCTATCAGCTGTATTGGAACAGGATCTGTTGCTGAGGTAACAACTCAGAATGTCACTGGCTTCGTGAAATAGTGAGCATGGAGTTGGGAATTAAAGGTAGGGCCTGTTGAGAAGGTACAAAGACGACAAGACACTCAGACTTAAGGATGCTGCAGACCTCATCATGTTCTAGTTCCCATTTTATAAAGCAGGTGGGTGATAGCTTCAGGCCATTTTACTCCCTGGTACAGAATTCTTTAGTGACCAGGCAAGATTATATCCCATGTCCTAGAACTCTTACTCTCGTGCAATGTCTACTGAAAAGAAGCTAATTACATTTTAAAATATCAAACTTAATAAGAGAATGTGTGTGGTTTCTGTTTGAAGATTTTAACATTTCTCATTTGGTGGATCCCAGCTTTACCATATGTGAATGTGAATAACACTTTGGAACTAGTTTTTTCTCTAATTTCATCTTAGAAATTAAAAGCTTTCATGACAAGAAAGTATATTGCCACAGTTTTATACGGACTAAAAATCTGACAAAAAAGAACTAAAAATCTGGATATTGACATTTCCCACAAAAATCAATGTTGGCACTAACGATAAAGATGCACAGTACTGTGTGGGATCCCTTCCGTTCCGAACCCATCCCACCCGCTGGCTATCTCATCTGAACTAAAAAGAAGCCTGCTGGGTCAGGGGCCATCCTTCAACTCTGCAGATCATACTGTCCCACTCCCTGTCTCATGCTAGGTAGGTTTTTAAAGTGGTAACTGATTCCTACAGCTCTGTCTCTTAGCACCCTAATCTAGGCACATAGGGTGGCTCATACTCATCCTCTCAGGGTATGTTTCTGACTTCAAGGGCAGAGGAGAAAAAAATAAAAACTATGTCCTTCATTTGGATGTGATGGCGCCCACCTGTAATCCCAGCACTTCCATGGCTGAGGCAGGAGGGCTGCTGAGAGCTGGAAGCCAGCTCAGGCTGCACAATGAGACTCAGCCTCAAAACAGACAAACAAACAAACAAACAAAATCAGAAACATTACCACCACCAACCCCCCCAAAACTATGCTCTTTCTAGCCTTTGAGTTAAAAATGCCCAGAGACCAGAGAAATAGAGGAGCAAGGCCTTCAAGGAGCCCAGCTTCTCCTCCTTGGGTTTGAAACTCAGATTCTGCTTGGCGTGTGGAATAGGGTGGTGATATACCTAAAACAATTTTAAAAATATATGACTTACAGACAAGTTGTAAATGTATATTGATTCCACTTATCTATCTGTAGACTGAGATTTACACCAACCATAGGTACAGATAGGCACCACTCTCCTGAGAACCACTGTGGGGCATGAAGGAGACTCTCAGATATCATTACTGATTTTGGAAATATCAACCTGTGGTAGTATTGTGTTCCCCAAAATATTGTGTACCCTAATAAATTTATCTGGGGGTCAGAGAACAGACAGCCATTAGATACAGAGGCTAGAAAATGGTGGCACTCACGCCTTTAATCCTAGCATTCCAGAGATAGAAATCCCTCTGGATCTCTGTGAGTTCAAGGCCACATTGGAAACAGCCAAGCATGGTGACCCACGCCTTTAATCCCAGGGAGTGATGGTAGAAAGCAGAAAGGTATATAAGGCGTGAGGACCAGAAACTAGAAGCATTTGGCTGGTTAAGCATTTGGCTGGTTAAGCTTTCAGGCTTCTAGCAGCACAGTTCAGCTGAGAGCCATTCGGATATGAGGACACAGAAGCTTCCAGTCTGAGGAAACAAGACCAGCTGAGAAGTTGGCCAGGTGAGGTTAGCTGTGGCTTGTTCTGTCTCTTAGATCTTCCAGTGTTCAACCCAATACCTGGCTCAGGTTTGATTTTATTAATAAGAACTTTTAAGATTCCTGCTACATCAACCCATGAGCCAGAATTAGAAAGGTTGTAGTTCTAATATTTCTTGGTTTAATACAAGTCAGTCTGCAGAGAAGAGGAAGAGAAAACTGGTGGGAGTCTTCCTAGTCCTCGATCCTCCGGGTTAAGTGCTCCGTCACCCTGAGGGCCAGCTTCTGGGTGTTTCCACTCATCCCACTGGACCACTAAGACTTCTGTGGGTGCCCTAATACCACATGCCTTGATCAAAGTCATAGTGAGTGACACAGACTGGGAGGGTATGGGGACCTGCTCGTAGCCTTTCTTGTCTGTCTTGTTGGCTTTGGGACATGCAGTCTTAGAAGATGAGAGAAAGATGGCAAAAAGAACCCCATTATGCCTGTGTGTTTATAAATGACACAATTTACAGCCCGCAATCTAAAACAGGTTTCCAAATACAAAATAAAAATTGGGAACAGGAAAGGTGGGAAGAGAAAACATCTGTGTTTGCATCTTTTGTTTGAGACTTTATCATCTCTATACCCTTTGTCATATTGCTTAGGAGTGCTAGTTTATTGGTCAAATGTAAGTCATGTACATTCATTCAGCACAAAGGCACTCAATGTAGACAGCAGTAGGTGACCAGTAACTGACATTTATTACAAAGCCCTTCTTTCTTATCATTGCAGAAATCCTGGAAGTCCAGAGAGGGACTCTTGCCTCAGGAATATGAAATCATGGAAAATTTGGGGTGAGAGCTTCATTCTCACCCATATGTTCTTCTAAGTCTTCAGGCTACGCTGGGTCTCCAACCTACTGAGACTGACTGTAACATGAAATGGACGGCGGTATGAATCGACCTTTGCAGGATAGTCAGGTAGGGAAGTATTTTCTGAACACAAGCCCTGCAAAGCAGACTCAAATTTTGTCTACAGTGTATTTCCCAGAGACAGAAGTTGAGTTAAAATTTTGTCAATGATTGTGTATCCACTTGGTGTGAGAAGAGACCCTCAAATGCTATTAAACTGCTTATTGATGTGAACCAGATGGAAAATAAGACAAAAGAATTCACAACTCATGTTAGACAGAATTGAATGTCTTTAATTTCACACAATGAATAACATATGAATAGGACCAACTTTTTTTTTTTAATAGTTAAGTGCTCTGTACTGTGCTAACCTGATCTGGTAGCGAAGACACCGAGCGAGCTTTCTTTTAGAAAAAAAATGTTTAAAACCCAACATCTAAGACCATGTGAGAGCATGCCAGTAAAGCATGCCAGATGTCGCTACGCCTCAAATGACAGCAAGTCCATGTTCATTGAAATGTACAAAAATGCTTTATGAATAAAAACTGTTACAAAAAGAACATTTCAAACAATGTACAATTTTTCTTGCCTCTATATTCAATAAAATACAAATACATTTTTTTTGTTCTAAAATATGTTTACATACAATCAAAGTAGGACATGCAAATTACACTTTAAAAAAGGCTTTTAAAAACCACTTATGAATACAAACTAAAAATTAGCCAGAAGGACTTGTAAGACAATCTTGTGCCCATTTTTTTGAAATATATATGTACATATTTAACACATCATGTGCATTTATTATTATTTAAGAAATAGATTTTTTTTTTAAAAAAAAAAAAGGAAGAAAAAGAAAGATACCAATCCAGGGCAGAACTACCCTTCCAAGTTGACCAGTTGGCAGCTCTCCAATTTCTCCCTCTTTAGTGTTTATTCTACCTGGGCAAGTGGGAGACAGATATCCAGGAAGTCTCTTCCTTGGTTGATATGTGCTTCTGTGACTGTTCCCCAAGTGACTGAGTCCAACAGGGAAGACAGGCTCCTTAGTGGGGTGAACTCTCTTAGAAACACGAGGCAGAGGGAGCCTTGCTGTGTGGAAAGAAACGTGAAGAAACACCAAGAAGATGCTACGGTATGTTACAGTTTGAGTTTCTAGGCACTGTGATGACATTATCTGTAAGCGCTGGCATTTGGACCATTGTGATATGATAGGGTAGCGTTGAGAAAAATATCTATATTTATGTACTTTTACATAATGAGTAGGACTGAAAATCCTGCGACATAACACTTAAATGGCTTTTGAGGCATTTTGGCTCCTGCCACTCCCTCACTATGCTACAGTTGGCATTTAAAGGCTTTGGAAATATCCGTGTAGACTTTAGACAGTTCCCAGGTCAACCTTCCTAGTGATAGGGAAAAATACACTCCACAAGCTCATTATCTGATTATTGTTGAGTAACAAGCCAGGAGTAAGATTTTCTACTTAAGTCCTAATACCAAATCCTTTATGATCTGCTTATAATATATCACCTTATACTATAATTCTGTCACCACTTGCTTATCATATTTATAGATACAGCAATGTGCAGAACACAAATTCTGACTGCCATTGAACATGGCCTCCCACTGCAGACAGCAGTCAAGTTAAAACACTAATCTACTGTCAGCCCTTAGTCACCTTCACTAGGCTGCCAGTGACTGCTGAGTCCTGGTCCTGCCGAGCCACAGAGCAACCCTCCATGCTTTCCCTTTTCTGACCTTTCTTCCTTGGCTGGTAGCCACAGCTGGGCTATTGGAGAGAGTTAAGCTTCTGTTCCTCTCATTTGAGACGAGGGGTCGAAAAGCAAATGGCTTTCTAGTCCCTTGGAAAGGTGGATTAAAGACCGATCAGCTCCCCCAAGGAGCTTATGCATCTAGGTTTCACCTTCTCATTTCTAATTGGTCTCCTTAGAGTGTAAGTGGTTTCCTACCTACTTGCTGAAGGAATATTCTAAAAAGAAAAGAAGAAAAAGAGAAATTAAAAGCAAGGGATCATTACAAGATATTTTATGGATCTGTAAATGGAGTCTTGAGGATCCCAAATGACACCTCTCAAGGTAGAAATGCATCCCCAGAAGGCAGTGCTGTGTGGTTAAGAACCTCCATACTTTAAATCAAGAGCTGGGTTCTCTTCTTGGCTCTAAAACCAACTAGATATGGAAATTCAATTGGCTTCATGGAGGGGCCTGGGCAGCAAAGGAGAGGGTAAGGGGGGAGTTAGGGAATACACAAATAGTCGTAGCAATGAGATGAGTTAGGTTCATGAAAGACGAGAGAAAAAAGTATGTGACAATGAGGGAGACACCGGGTATGGGGAGCCACTGTGTAGATGAATGGGCTCACTGCCACCCTCCACCTGCTGTTTACCATGGCTCTCTTTGGTCCTCTAGTTTTCCAAACAGTTTTTAGAGTGTGCAAGCAGGGATTTACATTTCACTCACATTTAACTCCAGGATCAATTCATGTGTTAAGTTGCAGGTCCACTGAATATCTCCTGGAATCTTTTTATTGGTTTGGAATTTCTAACCCAAACTTCTTTTGCACTAAATCACCAATGGCAGGTTAATGCCAATTAAATACTGGGTGTTCTCTGGGCTCTCTCTCCTCTGTAAGAAGGTTTAGATTGCCCAGAGACTTGTTTGGGGGACAACATCACAGCAAGAATGAATGAAGGAAGAAAGAAAAAAATGGTTTTCGAAGTCCAACAGGAAGAGAACCTTCTTTATGGCTTAATTGGAATGGGAATGGCTGGTCTTTCAGAGGAATGGTTGGGGGAAAGAGACTGATCTATGCCTTCCCCCGTGACTTTGGAGCTGCTCAGACATGGCTCGGGAGTGACAGGTTGAAAATGACTGTTCAGATTCTGCTGTTCAGATTCTGATGTGAAATGCCGTAGGTCCACCCAGGTCACAAACTGAGTATTTAGGATAAAAGCTGGAAATAAGCGGAGTCCTTTAAACTTACGTATTGCTAGGATTAAATGAGACTGACTGAGCAGGCTGCAGATGACATGAAGTCCATTTCGACAGTACAGAATAGGATGGCTCTGTAATTCCAAGCAATGGTTGGTGTCATGACACAGTAGTGATATTTACAAGCATATTAACTTGGGATTTTCAAATTTCCTTCAGTATTATCCACTTGTTCACTTATGCCCCTCCCCTCCATAAAAATCCATCTCTCTGAGGAGGAGAAACTGTGTTCTGAAGTGCTAATGTAGTTTCTTAGCTGGTCCCAACTTACTGTAAAGAAACTTAATTTGAAGGCAAACTGGATATCCTAATTCTCCTTAGAGAACGAAATTCTCTGTGTTTCTTTTTGTACAAGCTATGATGCCAGGTATTTGCTGTCTTGAAGAAGCTAGGGTGAGGAGTAAAGGAGGAAATTGAAAAGTACTTATTTGAAATTTCCACATTTGACTTTTAAAAACTTCTAGGGCAGTGGGATAAGATGGCATCCATTCTGAGTCCTCACGTGTTTTACTCAGGCGTTGGAAATGGATGATAGACGGAATATCTGTCCACACTAAACCAGTGACTAGAGCACAACTTGGATGAGAAATGTACAATTGAAATTGACCATTTAAAAGACGATTTGTCACACACAGTTTGCATCCATGCAGACTGATCGATTTATAATTACATTATGTACAGCAATGTTTTAGTGTATTAAGGCAACCACAATTTGGATACTTTGTCCAAGGTGGCTTGATACAATTGAAGTGGTGACACCCTTTCAATACATTAATTTTTATTTTTCTTAGATAAGAACACTTACTCCCCTTCACTTTTAAGAAATAATTATTAAGAGATAATGGACGTCTTTCTTTCTTTCTTTCTTTCTTTCTTTCTTTCTTTCTTTCTTTCTTTCTTTCTTTCCTTTCTTGCTTTCCTTCTTTCTTTCTTTTTCAACAACCTATGACATCTCTTTGCATGAAAATAATCAGGTACCAAGGCATTGCTAGACGGTTTTCTTTCTGGTGGACATGGGATTTTGATATTTGGTGACATATCAGTTATTCCACTTGCTGTGGGGTATTAAAACCATTTTATCCTGCCTATTCTCCACTGATATGTTTTAAGTATAAAAATAACCTGGCTGACACTTGGGTCAACATCTCCCTTGGCTGCTCCGAGTCACTTATTAAAAAAACTTGTATCAATATTGAGTGTGTTTCACAATGATTGGGATTCAAAGTTGGTTCCTTGAGGCAGGGTGCCAGGAGTGCACTTTACAACACGGGTAAAGTTCACATTGTTTAGATGTGTACCACGAAATAGAAGGCAGCTAGTTAACGGGAGTACATGAAAACACATCGCAAAGGAAAAGCAGGAACAGACAATACAAAATCAGTGTACAAGACAGGAACACGCGCAGATCTAAGGTCGTCTATCAGTCCAATTCCACCTTCTGATCACAAGATTCCATCTGAGCAACTGTGTTGTTAACGGAAAGATTCATCTCTCGGGTCACTGGAAGAAGATGTTGGTGCCCCAAAGCCTAGCTGAGTTTGCGAACCAAAAGAAATAAAAATCAATTACGTGGGAGTGGCTTACAAGCCAGCTGGTAAATTTGCAGCTTTGCTCCCCCTTGGAATGTTTGCTAATGGAGGGTGTTTCCCACTTGATTTTTCTGACCAGCGAATGAAATCGGAACCAAGGGCGCACCTGGGATGAGGTGGGGGCCGGGGGTCAGGTGGCCATCGGAGAGCACCAGCTTTGCGCTCCTCCTCCCTTTTCTGCAGCCTGTGAGGATCCGGCCACGCGGAGTGGCTCTGGGGTGGGAAATGTTGTGCAGCACAGACAGCTGCTTTTTTTTGGGGGGGGGGGAGGTGTCCCCTCTCTCTGCTACCCCAAGAGCTCTCATGGCTCCACCCCGCCCTCTGCCCATTCTGCCTGCCCACTGAAGAGAGGGGCGGGGTGTCCCTGTGGTGGGGCATCGGCCCCACCCTGGCTGCTGAGCTCCCCTGCATCAGTCCCTGCCAGGATCCCGCAGCAGCCCAGGCCAGCCCTAGGGAAGGACATCGCTCTCGCTGGCTCGCGACTTCCTTGGCCTCTTGGCCTTTACCTCCTCTTCCTGGGGAAGGGGCTGTGGCGGGGGCTGCGCGGGCTGCGCTGGGGGCGGCGGTCTGTGTTTCCTCTTCCCGCCCCGCGCCGTCTTGGGCAGCGGTGGGGGTGGTGGGGGTGGAGGTGGGGGCGGCGGCAGAGGTGGGGGCGGCGGCGGGGGCAGCGGCGGGGCCTCCCTCGCCATGTGGATAACAGCCTCGATGGTGGCCATCACCGCGTCCTGGCCGGCGGCGGCCGGCTCCAGGGCAAGCGGGCTCAGGCTAGGCTTCTGGCCTCTCTTGCTGGGTAGGTCGATGCACTTTTCCAGCACCGGCATTTGGTCTCTGGAGTCCTCATCGAACTGGGTGGGCTGCTTCCGAGGCCGGCCTCGTCTCTTCTTGACAAAGTTGTTGCCAGTCTTTGATTGTCTCTGCAGCCGCTTGGCCTTCAGGATCTTGTTCACGTGGTCCAGATTCTTCTTGGTGGACAGAAGCTTGGTGTAGTGGCACATCTTCCGCACCTCGCACTGGATGGCTTCGATCTCCCGCCTTTTGAATCGCTTCTTCAGGGAGGAACTGGCTGCAGGGGACAAGAAGGGAGAGGTTAAGCTCAGGATGCAATGCCCCCCATGTATTGTTTCACTATTTAAACAGAAAATAATAAAAAAGCATTGGCTGAATATGTCACGTGTATGAAGCATTATTGACATTGTTACTATTATTTCAGTCCTCACAGTTACATAAAATACTGTGGTTGGTATTTTATTTCACTTTGTGTTTTTTGAGACAGGGTCTCCTTATGTAGGGCAGGCTGTTCTTGAACTTCGGATCCTTTCGCCTCAGCCATGCTGAGTGCTGGGAAATGAGACTTTCATTGCAACACTTGACTCCCCCATCCCTCCTCTGTTTTAAAGAGAGAGAAACTGAGGCTCCTATCTCCGTGGGTTCTTAGAAAGCACAATGTAAGCTTTATATTATATTTCTGTTTTTTCTTTTTTAATTTAGCCCTTTGACATCAGACCCAATTCAATCAAGCATTAATTGATACTTTACCTTTGTCTGACCTTGAACGATTACACACAGCCCACCCACATCATTCAATTGGATCATATAAAGGCACCTGCGGTCTCATGAGTGGCCTTGACAGGATCTAGAAGGTATAGGTGAAGGATTTTGTCCTAACTTCTTCCTGGTGAGGAGGTTGTGCCTGAACACTACAGTTGGGATGGTGTGGTCTCTTAATACTTTCCTGCCAGTATTCTCGAGCTGTCAAGTTGCCTGATGATGCCCAATTAAGCAAGCTCTTCCTAGCCTTCGCCCTCTGGGGACCTCAAGGGCAATATCCGCCAGGTGTTTCTCAATGGTTTACACTCCTCGGCTGAATAGTTGTTTGCAAAGGGCCCTTTTCATGTGCTGCTGGCCAGATGCGCCTCTATTTTATGAGCCTAACTTCTCAGGAAGTCCTGTACTGTGGCACTAAATGGCCTTCAGAACTGCTTCGTTTTGAAGTTCAGACACCATAAAGTGTGGATGGTTTCAAAACATGGGCAGCCTTTCAGCCTTGGATCACTCTCCCGTTATTGTCTGTGAACAGGCACATTTGTGTGGAATACCTGTGTACTGGCAAACAGGCATCTGTACGGATGGATGTGTGCTTGTATACAAACGCAGCCACACTGCTCGTCCTCCGTGTGGGCCACTAGTCAGCTGCAGACTTAAGTCTCTCCTCACTGAATTCTTCGCTGCTGTGATTTGCCCTAAATGCCCAGTCCCAAAGACACTCACTTAAAAGACTACACTCTAAAGGGGACGTATTTCATATTACTACGTTGTTTTCTTGTATGCTCCCATTACTATTTTTTTTCAACGATTGGTTGAGAGAATAAATATCTCAAGGGAGAGAGGAAAAAAATATGCTTCACACTTGGCCACCACTCTCGCCATTCTTGGGCACTCCCACTTCATTCTTTCCATGTCGCCCCACTTCTCCCTCATGCTGTGGCCCATCACAGACTTCCAGGAGGGTTTTATTTGAAGTTATTTATGCGACTAGCTTCATGGAGTGGGAAGCGCTGAGTTCCATAGGCCAGGTCAAACTGCCACTGCTTTTGGCCAAAGGTCAGCCAGACTGACTGAGCAATGAATAACTACTGAGCGATCTTTAAAATAAGTTATAAAGATCAAAATAGAACAAAGCCAGAGTGAGCTTCTGACTAGAAAAATAAAACTTTTGTAGTTAGTCTTGTAAAAAGAAAAGGTGGCTCAATTATCAGTTCTCGTGTGGCTTTATGTCGCTCACGGGACCTCGCATGGTGCCTCCTGAATGGACAGGATTGAAAGTTGCTTCCTCGATGGCTTCTTGCTGCCTTCTAGTTACATCCTTTGAAGGTGTTACAGTTTGGATTTTGAAGGCAACAGTTGCAAAGACAGCAACATTAGGAGTTTGTAATCAGGTCTTGTTAGAGACAAGCAATGGGCTTTGTTCATAGGGATTCCTAGTAAACCAGAATAGTTAGAAAAATGCCACAAAACTCTGGGCAACATTTAACATAGAATCCACGTGCGGCTTGCTCTCTCCTTAGTTTATTCCATTTATTGAGGGACTTCCTAATCTATAATCCACAATAGAAAGGTACTAGTTTTGTAGACCTATAATACAGCAAGGTATAAATAAGTATAAAGTAAATTTATTAGTTGTACTATCTGAGTAAAACTTGACAGAAATGCTTTCATGAGCTATAGATTCACATGGAGGCAAATATAATCATAAGATGGTACTTCTTACCTTTCACAGTGAAATGCCAAAAAACAAATAGATAAATAAACAAATCCCCAAACTAAACTCAAATCAATCCAAACCCAATGATCTTACACATTGTTTTACATAATTTTTAATCCAACCCTTGTGGTGATATTGTGTCCCCAATATATTGTGCACCCTAATAAACTTATCTGGGGGTCAGAGAACAGAACAGCCACAACATTAAACATAGAGGTTAGGCAATGGTAGCACATGCCTTTAATCCTAGCATTCCAGAGGTAGAGATCCATCTTGATCTCTGTGATTTCAAAGCCGCACTGGAAACAGCCAAGCATGGTGACTCACGCCTTTAATCCCAGCAAGTGATGGCAGGAAGCAGAAAGGTATATAAGCCGTGAGGACCAGGAACTAGAGCCTGTTAAGCTTTTAGGCTTTTAGCAGCAATTCAGCTGAGATCCATTCGGATGAGGACACAGAGGATTTGAGTCTGAGGAAACGAGATCAGCTGAGGAATTGGTGAGGCGAGGTTAGCTGTGGCTGGTTCTGTCTCTCTGATCTTTCAGAGTTCAACCCAATACCTGACTCTGGGTTTATTTTTATTAATAAGACCTTCTAACAATTCGTGTTACAAATCCTTGTATTGAAAATGGTTAGGGAATAATTATGAAAGTGTAAATCCACCAAATGGTAAGAGTAAAAACAGCATAAGCAACTTTTGTACCCACCATTTGCATTTAATTAATGTTCACAGATTATCTTATTTGCTTTAATTAATTAGTACTTTTTGAGGTCAGATCTTGCTATGTCTATCAGACTGGCTTTCAACTCATAATCCTCCTGCCTCTTCCGGTGTGCTGGGACTATAGTTATGTGCGCCTTGCCTGGTACTTTGTTTTTAAAGAAAGGACACATGGATCCAGTGGTCTTTGCTCCATTCTCCATTCCATTACCTTCCCTTTACATGCTAGTACGGTATTTTTATTGCATGAATGAGGATAGACAGCCAGTAAGAATTAAGTTTGAAACCATACCTAGTGTTGGTAATGATATGAGGAACCTGGAACATTTGCAGATTGCTAGCAGGGGGATACGTTGGCCCACCATTTTGCACAGTGCAGTAGCTGCTAGAGTTGAAAGCACCCAGGCTCAGTGCCCTAGTGACTGCCTGTCAGGATTGCCTCCTTCATTTACTTGTAATAAGAGGCAAAAAGTCTTAGAAGAGGCTCCCTCAAAGCTCAGTGGATGCTATGGGGGAATAAAGACAACAGAAACACTAAGTGAAAGCTAATGAATCAATGAGGACACATTAAAGTAGAGTCATAGACATGTATATATGAACATGATGCATGTAAGTTAAGCAGTATGACTAAATTTAAAAAGTTGAATGAAAAATCAAGTTGAAAAGATTTTTAAGTAAAGAAACCATTTCTATAAAAGTAAAGATACATATCTTTGAATTTTTATCGTATCTTCAGGATCCAATAAGAAGCTGCCAGTGGCTACTGTGAGGAAGGCCAACTCTGAATGGAAGACTTGGTGAAGGAAGAGATTTCAGTATTTATTTTCCCCCAGAGTTACTTCATAAAAGGTTACAAAGCTTCCAGGGTGGGGCTGCCCAGCAGAAGGTGTTGAGTATTAAAAATGTCCTTTATCTGGACCTGGTGTGCTGGTGCACACCTGTCAGCCCAGCACTTGTGGGGGTGGGATGGATGATCAGGAAGTCAAGGGCATCCTTGGCTACAGACTGCGTTCCACACTAGCTGGAATATGTATATCCTGTCTCGAAAAACAGGGAACAAGGGAGGTGGAGGAGGATGGAGAGAAGGAGGCAGAGGAGAACAACAAAAAAGGAAAATAGCTTACCGTCCCCCACACTAGCTCCTAGTGATATATGGCAACTAGCATTCAAAGATAGCAACTATGAGGGAGAAATTAAATATTCAGTCCAATATTAATAGTTAGTATGTGGCCAGTGGTTATGTCTTGGGCAACATGGCTGCCAACTGAACAGCACTGAAATACCCAAGACAAAAGGGATTTGGGGATTCAGTCAATCACATAAAGACGGTTGTGAATTCAAGTTAAATAACTTGGTGTCTCCAAAAAAATTCATTTAGATGAGTGGAAAACTAACTACAAAGACATGGGAGAGATAAAACGATCTTATTTGACTATCAATTTAATGAAACTGCTAAAAGAGACCCTGAAATAAATTTCCAATTAAACCCTAACTGGGCATTTCTTTGTATAATTGTGGTTAGTTAGGTGTAATCATTGTGTTATGATCATTTTTTTTTTTAGTTTTCAGTGCCTTGTCTTTCAGAAATGAATTAAAATATTTGTGAGTGAAGAAATATGAAACTGTCACAAACTGTCTTCCAAATAGGAAGAGGGAAGTAGTGAGAAGTACTGCTGAAACATGGTTGATCAAGCGCTAATACTGAGGGAGCTGAGTAATGAATGGTACACAAGGTTTAATAATTTGGTATATGCTTGATGTTTTTTCAAAACACAGGCTTAAAACTATGAATGGTAAGTGGCAAAAGTGTATCTCTTGGCATCTTAGGACAGGGAAGAGCTGTAGTTTTCACCCCCCTACGGGTTCTATTCACATAGTTTTGGAAGAGAGATCCCCCATTTCTCTGACAAGTCACACTGACCCCTGGCTTAAGGGCATGGAACAATGAGTTCTCAGGTTTATGCTGTGACAATCGTATAACCATGTCACGAGTCGACCTCTATTTGATGTTGGGTATTATAACAATATCCCTTTCTTCTGTACACATAATATGTGGGGTTCCTACATGCGCAGAGGACCT